CCAGAGGCCCAGCCACCAGTGATGCAGCTCAGTGTGGCTGTGACCTGGTGAACCACCAAGGGTCCCCAGTGGATGCTCTCGGTGTAAGGCGTGACCTGGTTGACCGCCCAGGGCCCCAGTGATGCATCTCAGGTGGCTGTGGACTGGAGACCACCAGGGGCCCCAGTGATGCAGCTCATGTGTGCTGTGACCTGAGTGACCTCCCATGGCCCCATGATGCACTCAGTGTTGCTAGTGACCCTGGTGACCACCAGCCCCAGTGATGCATCTCATGTGGCTGCGTGGACCTGGTGAGACCACCAGGGCCCCCATGATGCATTTCAGTGTGGCTGGTGACCGGTGACCACCAAGGGCCCCAGTGATGCATCACAGTGTGGCTGTGACCTGGTTGACAACCAGGACCCCCAGTGACATCTCAGTGTGGTCTGTGACCTGGTGACCACCAGGGCCCCCATAGCATGCATCACAGGTGTGGCTGGACCTCGGAGTGACCACCATGGCCCCCAGTGAATGCATCTTCATGTGGCTGTGGACCTGGTGACCAACATGGCCCCAGGATGCATCTCATGCGTGGCTGTGACAGCTGGTGACCACAGGCCCCAGTATGCAAGTCATCAGTGTGGCCTGTGACCGGTGACCACCCAGGGCCCCAGTGATGCAATCTCAGTGTGGGCTGTGACCTGGGGACCACCAGGGACTCAGTGATAGCATTCTCAAGGTGTGGCTGTGACCTGGTGACCACCCAGGGCCCCAGTGATGCATCATCAGTGTGGCTTGTGCAACCTGGTGACCACCAGGGCCCCAGGTGAATCATCATCAGTGTGGCTGTGACCCTGGTGACCACACAGGGCCCCAGTAAATGCAATCCTCCAGATTGTGGCTGATGACCTGTGACCCCAGGTCCCCAGTGATGCAAGTCTCAGTGTGGCTGTGACCTGTTGACCACCAGGTCCCCATTGATGCAGCTCATTGATGGCTGTGACCTGGTGACCAACAGGTCCCCATGATGCCCTCTCAGTGTGGCTGTGACCTGGTGAACCACCAGGTCCCCAGTGGATATTGCATCTCAGTGTGGCTGTGACCTGGTGACCACCAGGCCCCAGTGATGCAGCTCAGTGTAGCTGTGTGGACCTGGAGACCAAAGGGCCACCAGTGATGCATTCTCAGTGTGGCAGGACCTGGTGACCACGCAGGCCCCAGTGATGCATCTCAATTTGTGGCTGTGACCTGGTGACCACCAGTCCCCAGTGATGCAGCTCAGTGTGGGCTGTGACCTGGTGGACCACAGGGCCCCAGTGATGCAGCTCAGTGTGGGCTGTGACCTGGTGGACCACCAGGTCCCCATGATGCATGCTCATGTGGCTGTACCTGGTGGACAACATCCAGGGCCACCAATGATGCATCTCGTGTGGCTGTGACCCTGGTGACCACCAGGTTCCCCAGTGATGCAGCTCATTGTGGCTTGTGACCTGTGACCACCAGGTCCCAGTGATGCATCTCAGTGTGGCTGTGACACCTGGTCTGACCACCAGGTCCCCAAGTGATGCAGCTCATTGTGACTGTGACCTGGTGACCACCAGGTCCCCAGTGGATGCATCTAAGTGTGGCTGTGACCTGGTGACCACCAGGTCCCCAGTGACATGCATCTCAGTGTGGCTGTGGGACTGGTGACCACCAGGCCCCAGTGATGCAGCTCAGTGGCTGTGACCTGTGACCACCAACGGTGCCCCAGTGATGCAGCTCAGTGTGGCTGTGACCTGTGACCACCAGGCCCCCAGTGATGCATCTCAGTGTGGCTGTCGGACCCTGGTGACCACCAGGGCCCCCAGTGATAGCCTCATGTGGCTGGTGACCTGGTGACAACCAGGTCCCCAGTGAGCAGCTTCATTGTGGCTGTGACCTGGTGACCACCAGGACCCCAGTGATGCATTCTCAGTTTGGCCGTGACCTGGTGACCACCAGGTCCCCAGTGATGCAGCTCATTGTGGCCTGTGACCTAGTGACGCCACAGGTCCCCAGTGCTTGCAAATACTCAGTGTGCTGTGACCTGGTGGACCACCAGGTCGCCCAGTGATGCATTCTTCAGTGGTGGCTGTGACCTCAGGTGACCACCAGGGCCCCAGTGATGCAGCTCAGTGTGGCTGTGACCTGGTGACCACCAGGGCCACCAGGGGATGCAGCACAGTGTGGCTGTGACGCTGGGTGACCAACCAGGGCCCCCATGATGCATCTCAGTGTGGCTGTGACCTGGTGCCACCAGGCCCCAAGTGATGCATCAATACAGTGTGGCTTGGACCTGGTTGACCACCAAGGCCCCAGGGTTTTGATGCAGCTCAAGTGTGGCTGTGACCCTGGTGACGCACCAGGCCCCCAGTGATGCAGCTCAGTGTGGCTGTGACCTGGGACCACCAGGGCCCCAGTGATGCAATCTCAGTGTGCTGTGACCATGGTGACCAACCAGGGCCCCAGATGAGAGCATCTCAGTGTAACTGTGACCTGTGACAGCAACCAGGCCACCAGGATAGCAGCTACAGTGCTGGCTGTGACCTGTGACCACCAGTCTACTCCCCCATGATGCAGCTCATTGTGGCTGTGACCTGGGTGACCAACCAGGCCCCCCCGGTGATGCATCTCCAGTGTGGCGTGACCTGGTGACCACCAGGGCCCCAGTGATGCAGCTCAGTGTGGCTGTGACCTGGTGACCCACTCAGTCTCAACAGTGATGCAGCCATTGTGCTGTGACCTGGTACCACCAGGGCCCCAGGTTATGCATCTCAGGTGGCTGTGACCTGGTGACCACCAGGGCCCCAGGATGCATCTCAGTGTGGCTGTGACCTGGTGACCACAGGGCCCAGTGATCACTCATTGTGGCTGTGACACTGGTGACCACCAAGGCGCCCAGTGATGCATCTCAGTGTGGCTGTTGACCCTTGGTGACCACCGGGGCCCCAGTGATGCAGCTCAGTGTGGCTGTGACCTGGTGACCACCAGGGCCCCAGTGATGCAGCTCAGTGTGGCTGTGACCTGGTGACCACCAGGGCCCCAGTGATGCATCTCAGTGTGGCTGTGACCTGGTGACCACCAGGGCTCACAGATGATTGCATCTCAGTGTGGCATGTGACCTGGTGACCACCATGGACCACCAGTGTGCAGCTCAGTGTGGCGCTGCGTGACCGGGAACTCCACTCAGGTCCCGCAGTGATGCCAGGCTCATTGTGGCTGATGATCCTGGTGACCACCAGGGCCCCAGATGAATGCATCTCAGTGTGGCTGTGACCCTGGTGACCAGCCAGGGCCCCAGTGATGCCATCCTCAAGTGTTGGCTGAGACTGGTGACCACCAGGAGTGGGGCCCCAGTGATCCCAGCTACATTGTGGCCTTGTGACCTGGTGACACATCCAGAGACCCATCGATGCCTCTCAGTGTGGCTTGTGACCTGGTGACCACCGGCGGCCACACCAGTTGATGCAGCTCAGTGTGGCTGTGACCCTGGGACCACCAGGTTCCCAGTGCTGCAGCTCATTGTTGGCTGTGACCTGGTGACCACCAGAGGCCCAGTGATGCAATCTCTCATTTGGCGCTGTGACCTGGGACCACCAAGGGCCCCAGTGATGCATCTCAGTGTGGCTGTGCCTGGTACGCCGGGGCCCAGTGATGCATCTCAGTCGATGGAGCTGTGACCTGGTGACCACCAGGGCCCAGTGATGCATTCTGACAGTAGTGGCTGATGACTGGTGACCACCAGGGAACCCCAGTGATGCATCTCAGTGTGGCTGTGACCCTGGTGACCACCAGGGGCCCCAGTGAGCATGCATCAGTGTGGCTGTGACCTAGGTGACCACACAGGGCCCCAGTCATGCATCTCAGTGTTGGCGTGTGACCTGGTGACCACACAGCCCCAGTGATTCATCTTCTGCAAGTGTGGCTGTGAACCTGGTGACGACCAGGGCCCCAGTGATGGCATGCTCAGTGTGGCATAGATGACCTGTGGTGACCACCAGGCCCCAGTGATGCATCTCAGTGTGGCTGTGACCTGGTGACCACCAGGGCCCCAGGATGCATCTCAGTTGTGGCTGTGACCTCTGGTGACCACCAGGCCCCCAGTGATGCATTCCTCAGTGTGGCTAGGTGACCTGAGTACCACCAGGCCCCAGGTGGATGCCTCTCAGTGTGGCTGTGAGACCTGGTGACCACCAGGGCCGACCAGTGAATGCATACTCATCTGGCCTTGGACCTCATCAAAGTATGATTCTGTTGGTGAGAACCGAAAACATGTATCCTCATAGCTTCCGTGCGACGTTGTGAGCAGTAGTTTTTATTAGAGCTATGATTTCTGACATGGGGGGGTAGGGGGGTATTTAGTCTGAGGCATTCTCTATGCCTCAACGAAATTACAAACCTTGTTCTGACTGACATTTATACACTGTCGTAGCGGGGGTTGGAAGTTGCTGAACTGAGATTCATAATTTGGGTTTTTTCTTGTGTGAGGACTTATCATTGTTCACTATGAACCTTTTGCTGTTTGGTAAACTGCCGTTTTTTAAACTGTTCAAGCAAGGCTGTTTTTGTTTGCCTCGTTGTTCACAAGTTAGCTTATTTAAGTACGTACTGTGTTTTTTGAATCAAGTTCAAGGGAGCATAGCCGAGCACACTTACTACTACCCCACCACTCTAATACATTTGACTTACAATCAGTAAAGTGACAACTGGATGGTACAGTTTTTTGTAGATTTCAGTATCATAATACAACGTTAAAATTTAAATTTACAAAATGAAAATACTTAAAATAATTAATGTTACTGAAGAGCTATACACAATGTGATGTGGAATATGTAGCGCATCGCTATGGGCCCCGTGCGGCAGACGCCCTTGCCTGACGCTCCTCAGTAACTGACAGCAGTGGTACGAGAGTGTTGTGCAGTTCGCTGCCTGATGAGGTAGAGTGCGGTCATGCATTGCACCCCCTCAACTGTTCCCAGACGAGCTAATCAGTCAACGACATGGCGCCAGGTGTGCGCAAGGAGAGTGAAACACTGTTGGGCATTGAACTATTAGAGGGCTTTAACACCTACGTCAGTCGATTGTTATTGCCACAAAATTATACGATAGACATATGGCATCAGAGACTAGGATTTATATGTGATGGCACTGAAACCGGTATATAGAATTTTCGTGAAAAGTGCTAACTGACTCAATATACGAGGCTTTGCATTCTGATCGTTACCAAGATGATCAGCATTATTGTAACACCGGCAGTGAGGGTCAAGTTGATTGAGTTCACGACATTCAATCGTGGTAAAGCTCCGCAACGTGCCTTTGTGGAGTGCTGATAGAGAATGTTCGAAATGTTTCGAAACGTATGGAACTGTAGTCATCTGGCCCAACCTGGCCAAAAATGGGTAAAAGGTGCTTACACAGATTTCACTCGAGGGTTCTTTTTAATCTCAAGATGACGCTTAGGCATCCTAATAGACCTCTATGTATATCTCGAAGAGTTTAGAACCCAGGTAATGGTAGCGTAGCAGGGCAGAGACGTTCGTGCCGACTGTGTGGCGAATTTGACCATATGGGCGGCAGAACATGTGGTAACAAAAAAAAAAACAAGCGGAGTATGGCTCCTAGGGCCGGCAAGGGGCGGTGAGCACCTGCACATGACACACCTATGCCTAAGGAGAACGGGAGGCAAGGAGGAAGGGCGTGGGGTCGAATGGGGAGTGATAGAGGTCGTGGCTCCTCCAGTGGAATTGAAGAAGGGGTGATTCCATGAATCACGCTGGCCCCATCAACATGTGGCTCCACAGAGGCCGCAAAGGGTGGAAGCACCTGCACATGAGCTACCCGATGACCTAAAGAAGAACGGTGCGCACAGGAGGAGGGCGTGGATCGCATGTGGAGTGAAGAGGTGGTAGCTCCTCCTGGGGAATCGCGGAAGAAGGCGTGTCCATGAATCACCTGCCCCGAGTCAACAGTACAGTCTTTTCAAGTGAGGTGGAGTACAGGAGGGCGCAGCAGTGAAGGCATTAGGAGGAGTATTTGGAAGACGGTTGATACAGGTTATGTTTACAGTCCATACGGAGGTGGAGAGTTACAGGCGCGAACAAGACCCTGGGATCAGGGCAGAAGGTGTGCGTGGGAAGGGAGGATCAGTGGCACCTGTGGTGGCAGTGCGAGTGCGCCATGGAAGGGCATGGAGGCTGGTTAAGGTGGTAGAGGTGAAGTCCATTTTGCTGCTTCCCAGACTCAGATTGAGGAAACTGAGGACTACAAGGAAAAAGGGCAGCAGCGTCATATTCGGACGATTTCTGACAGCCGGCGCAAAATGCCGGGAAAAGACATGGGTTATGGTACCCAGAGTGACTACTCTGCGGAGATGCGGCCCTCAACAGAGGGGGGGGGATGGTTTGGGAAGGAGGGGGAGTCTATGTGGCAAAGGCAAACAGTCCAGGGGAACGGTCTGAAAGGAAGAATCTTAACAGAGGCGGGGAAGGAAACCTAAACTGGCCTCAGGTGTGTAACAATAAATATTAATGGTCTTGTGATGGTGTTAAACGGGAGTGCTCAAGATGTTATTTTGAATAGGTACCAAGGTTGACGTATCTTTTGTGCAGGAGCAACAATTTTTATTAAGCTGGTCGTGAATATAGTGTGCCTTGGTATCGGCTTAAGTGTTGCCGTCTGAGCGTCTCCTTGTTTTCAAAAACTAATTTGGGAAATATCCAAAAATGAGAGTCGTTCAAGTAATTTCTGGAGTACTCTATTGTATTTTGGAAATGTTCAATATATTTTAGGTTAGGTTAGGATAGGTTTTCGGGCTAGTTAGGTTGGGTTAGGTTTAAGATAGGTTAGGTAGGTTAGGTAATGGTTAGGCAAGGTTTAGATTAGGTTAGGTAAAGGTTAGTAAAGGTTAGGTTAGGTTTAGGTTAAGTTAGGTCAAGGTTAGGTAAAGGTTAGGTTTTAGGTTAAGTTAGGTTAGGCTAGGTAAGGTTTAGGTTAGGCTAGGTTAGGATTAGGAGTTTAGGTTAGGCGTTAGCTAGGTTAGGGTGTGTGAGTGTGTGTGTGTCAGTGTGTGGTGTGTGGGATGTGGGTGATGTGGGTGTTGTTGTCCGAACTAGAGATTACCGTGAAAAGACGTTACAAGTGGGTTGTTGATGTGACTTTTTTCTGGATGAAATTTAGGTTAAAACGAGAAAAAAATGAGGATGTGGTGTTGTGACTTTCTGATGAAATTAATAAAACGATAAAAAAATTGTGGGTGTTTTGTGTTGTGGGTGTTTGGTGGGATGTGGGTGTGATCTTAGTTTATGGTGATTTGTGGTGTGTTTCTTTGAGTGGATTCAAGTGGTGTTTTAGAGTATTCAGTAGGTGTATTTGGGCGAGTACTCAAATGGTGTTTTTGGAAGTGTTTCAGTGATTGAATTGGAAATGTTCAAACAGGTGTTTCATAGGTGTTTTAGTGTGTTCAAATGTTGTTTTTTAGAAGGTGATCAAGGGTTTTCAAGGGTGTTTTGAAGGTGTTCAAAGGTGTTTGTGAGGTTATTCAAAAGTGTTTTAGAGTGTGTCTTCAAATGATTTATAGAGTGTTCTTTGAAGATGTTCAAAGGTCGTTTTGAAGGTGTTCAAAGTGTTTTGAAGTCTGTTGAAGGGTGTTTTGAGTGTGTTACTAAGGGTGTTTGAAGGTGTTAAGGGTGTTTTGATTGAATTCAGCAGCGGTGTTTTAGTAGTATTCAGTGGTGTAATTGGGAGTATCAATTTGTTTTTGGAATGTTCAAAGGTGTTCAAAGGTGTTTTGAGTGATGTTCAAATGTTGTTTTTTTTTTATAGGTGACAAGGTGTTCTAGGGTGATTTTTTGCGAAGGTGTTCAAAGGTGTATTTGAGGATTATTCAAAGTGTTTGAGTGTGTTCAAATGATTATAGAGTGTTTTGGAGTGATTCAAAGGTGTTCTTGAAGTGATTCAAAAGGTGTGTTATGATTGAATTCAGCGGTGTTTTAGTAGTATTCAGTGGTGTAATTGGGAGTACTCAAATTGTGTTTTTTTGGAACGTGTTTTCAGTGTTTGATTGGAAATTTCAAAGGTGTTCAAAAGGTGTTTTGAGTGTGTTCAAATGTTGTTTTATTCTTGAAGGTTGATCAAGGTGTTCAAGGGTGTTTTAAGGTGTTTCAAAGGTGTTTTTTGAGGTTATTCAAAGGTGTTTTTGAAGTGTGTACAAATGATTATGAGAGTATTTTGAAGGTGTTCCAAAGGTGTTTTGAAGGTGTTCAAAGGTGTTTTTGAAGGTGTTGAAGGGTGTTTTGAATTGAATTCAGTGGTGTTTTAGTAGTATTTCAGATGTGTAATGGGAGTACTCAATTGTGTATTTGGGAAGTGTTTCAGTGTTGATTGGAATGTTCGAAAGAGTGTTTTTTGAGAGAAGGTGTTCAAGAGGTTTTGAAGGTGTTCAAAGGTGTTTGAAGGTGTTGAAGGGTGTTTTTTGAAGGTGATCAAGAGTGTTTTGAAGGTGTTCAGGTGTTTATGTGTGAGTATTCAAATGATTTATGAGAGTGTTTTGGTGATGTTTCAAAGGTGTTCAAAGGCGTGATTTTGAGTGTTGTTCAATGTTGTTTTTGAAGGTATCAAGGCGGTGTTTTGAAGGTGTTACAAGGTGTTTGAAGGTGAGTAGGCAGCAAATGATTTTAGAGAGTACTTATGAAGGTGTTCTCAAATGAGTGCAAGAAGTACTTATGAAGGTGTTCTGGTAAGTATCACATAAGGGGGGGGTTTTTGATTTGGGGAGTTTCCGAATGAAAGTTTTTTGAGTAATTCAGTGTTGTTATGGGAAATGTTATAAAGGTTCTATTTTTTTGTGATATTCAAAATGATTTATAGTGATTTTTGAAGATGTTCAAAGTAAAAGTGCGATTTTAACTTCGTAATTATGGAAAAATTGTGAGTAGTGAATTTAAACGAAGTGGATGTAACCGATGTGTGACTTTCTGATGCATGTGTCCCCTTATCACTTTAATGAATCTAAAAGGGGTTTAAAACGACGAAAAAATGGGGGTTATGATGAAAATTGTGAGGCGTGTTGTTGGAGTGTGAGGTTTTTTGTCGGAGGGTGGGGAAGGAGGTTACTTCGTGGGAGTGACCACTGAGATGAAATATTAAAACAATGTCTAGACTTTGTGTTTGTAAAGAAAAATTGTGGGGGTATTAACGAAAAAATGTGCCTTCTGATGTACTGTGATCCCCTTATTAACTGGACGCGAGAACTAAAAGGAATCGACAAGATCCAGCGCCCCTGTGTGCGCGTGACGTCACTGTCACCTGATTCAACCTGTGTGCTGGTAAACACGATGACGGCCACTGACCGCCGAGTAAACACCCTTCACTAGACCTAGTATAAGCATGCTTTACCCCCCAGAGGGGGATTCCAAAACTTATACCGAGGAATTGGAGAATTTCGAAAACCCCATAGGGGGAAATCCAAAAAACTTGATCCAAGGAGATGGAGAATTTAGAAAACCCCATAGGGGGGATCCAAAAAACTTGATACCGAGTATTGGAGAATTTCGAAAAACCCCATAGGGGGGATCCAAAAAACTTGATCCAAGGAGATGGACGAATTCGAAACCACCCCATAGGGGGATCCAAAAAATCTTGATCCGAGAATTGGAGAATTTTTCGAAAACCCCCACTAGGGGGGAATCCAAAAAACTTGGATCCCAAGTAGATCATAGAATTTCGAAACCCCCCCAAGGGGGGGAATCCAAAAACTTGGAAATTTGAAGAAATTTTTGGGGTTTTTGGGTGGGGGGGGGGGGGTTTTTTTTTTGTAGGGGGGGGGGGGGGGGGGGGGGGGGGGGGGGGGGGTGTTTGTTTTGGGGGGTGAAAGTCGGAGGGGCAATCCAAGGAGATCATAAGATTTTCGATAACCCCATAGGGGGGAATCCAAAACCCTTGATCCAAAGGAGATCATAAGATAAAAAACAATTCGAGCGCGGGGGCGATCCGAGACGGACGCAGCAGAAGGCGCCGGGCGGGGGGACGCAAAGGGCGGGCACGCGGGCGGTGCGGTGCGGAGGCGGGCGCGCGGGGCGGGCCGCGCGAGCGGGGCGCACGGGCTCGGCGTGAAGGGGGGGTCGCGAAGGGGGGGGGGGTCGTGGGCGGGTATTGGTGGG